GGAAATTAACGCTCAATAATTTAAAAAAAAAACTTTAAAAAAAAAAAAGGCAGTGTGGCATAGTGTTGGCCTCAAAGATAAAAATCCTGAATTCAAGTCCTACTTGTGACAGAGACTAGCTACATGAATTTGGGCAAATAACCCATCTCTCAGGAAACTCAGAAAACTCTAAAACTGTCATTTGTAAAGAAGGTGCTGATCCACATGGATACAGGAAGCACCTCAGCAGGAACCGCCTACATTGATGAAAACATAGGTCCAGTCAAAACAGATAAACAAAATTCTAGCATTTTTTAAATTTTGAAAAGTGTTTCAACATTGGCTCTTCCTTCATAGTGAATGGTGGTTTTGAAGGCTTGAGTATGTTTGCTGAATTGAACTGATGTCTTAAAACCCAGCCAATGACTCAACCTCTTGAAGGCACAGGATTTCGGGAACTTTTGGGAGTCCTTAGTCCTTGTTATTATTTTTAGTAAATGGGTTGTCTGCTCCAAGGAAATGCTAGAAGGATCACTGAAACGGGAAAAATTAGGATGGCAAACCTTTTCTAATTTAGATAAGAGCTGCAACAGTGTTGGACCAAGGTGTTAAATTTGAGTTAAATAACATTTCAATAACAGTGAGATTTTCAGTGCTGAGAGATGCTTTGGGACAGTATATACTCTTGTCAATTCTAAGGGCCTCCTCTCTGTAGGTAAACCTCCACCCCCACCCCCCAAAAAAAGGGATGACAAAGCATGAGGATAAAGATAAAAGTCACTGGGTACTTTAAAAATTGCTGACACACTCCCTTCTTATGGCAGGGTGAATCATTTAGTTTTACGTTAGTAGACATTCATTGAGCAGACAATGGTTAAGAAAAGTAAGGAACAGTATCTTGAGGGCAACTTAGGTGTTGGGAAAAAGATATCCTTATACTGGAGAAAACATTGGCCATATGATAAGGCAGAAACTACCGCTATGACTTCGTCCAAATTGCTTCATCTCGGAGTTAGATAGCAGAGTCCATACTCTACTTTTCTCTCCAGGAACTACCTAGGCTATAATAATGAACCATAAGAGTCACAAAAATTTCCCTGTGTTGAATGATGTGATAAAACAAAAAGAATGCTGGATAAAAAGTCAAAAAACCACAAGTTTTTGTCCTCATCTGCTGGTACCTATGCAAGTTTCCATAAAAAAAGGTATAAAAAAGCTGCCAAAAAAAAAAAAAGGGAGGAGGGGGAATTATGCTACACGGCCTCTAAATCTTATAAACAGTCTCTTCTAATTCTAGGATCTTAAGAGCAGAAGCTTGGCTATGCCTATGTTGTAAAAGTTTTCCCTTTAATCTGGCCAAAAATCAGAGACAAAATATTATTAGAACTCAGATGTCATATTTCTGAATCTAATGCAATCCAGAAAGAAACCTTCCTAGAGCTACCTAAGTTCCAAAACATAACTTATATAAAATATCAAAATGGAAATTAAAAAGATAATTACCTCGCCTTCAGCTCCCACCCCAGACAGCATCTTTGTAACGTTGAAGGCAACACGCTTCTTCTGTGTGCTGTATACCCGCAACACCCTAAACAAGAGACAGGTATTAGCTTTGCTTGTTCTTGCAAATGAACCATGTCTTACTGCATTAAAAATAATTTAAAAGCATTAAGATGAAAGAGTTAGAGTCTAGCTTTCCCTGACAAAGATCTTGAAAAAGATCTTACAAATGTACCAGACTGAATTCTGATCAGGAAAGTCAAAAAGAAGTCACAGCGAATCATTTTTCCAGCCCAGGGAGGCTTAGGGAAATGAACAGAGAGGTCTGTGAACTCTAGGTAGAGGGTCTGGCCAGAAGGATGTGGCTGTGGCAGCAGTCCCATTCAAACACCCAGAGAAGGAAGAGACAGGGCCCCAGAGAGAGATCCTGGGGGATCCCTGAGCAAGCACTGGGTGCAGGAATGGTGCCATCTGGCAGCTCTGTCACCACCACCCAGTGCTGGGTCACAGATCCAGGCAAAAAGAGAGTAGTTATGAGAGTCAGTGATAGCTGTGTGGCTCTGGTCCCAGGAGCAGCGCACAGCATCTCAGAACAAAGGGGAGCTGGCAGCTCAGTCACTCTGAATCTGTAGAGCCCAACTCCAAACCAGAAACAAACCAAAAGACCCAAACCTGAGTAAGGAACTTGAAGAACTCAAACCCGGAGGATGGTAAACAAACTTCCCTCGGACCAAACCATTTGGGGAGCACTGAAAGTTTGCAGACTCCCAGTCTGAATGATAAGAGCAGTAGAAAGACAGGACAAAAAGGTCAAGCTTAACCTTACCCTCCCCACCATAAAGTGTAAAAAACTAACACTAACATAAAGTCCAAAGTCAAGAAGTAGAAAAATGAACAACATCCATAGAGAGCCATTAGGGTGACAAAGTTGCTCAAAACAAACAAAGAAGGATAGAATAACTTGAAAACATCTACACGTAAAGCCCTGAAGAAAATGCAGCGTGAACAAAAGTCCAACAAGAATTACCAGAAGAGTTAAAACAAAATTTGAAGCAACTAAAAAATGATTTTTAAAAACCAACTGAAAGAAGTAGGAGAAAGAATGGGGAAAAGGTAAGAGCTAGGGGAAAAGATATAAAGAAAAAATTAAGTTTGAAAAAGGAGACAAAAATCTTACTGAAGAAACTAACTCTTTGAAAAGAGTTAAAACAAGATTTGAAGCAGCTAAAAAAATGATCTTTAAAAACCAACTGAAAGAAGTAGGAGAAAGAATGGGAAAAAGGTAAGAGCTAGGTGAAAAGATATAAAGAGAAAATTAACAGTTTAGAAAAAGAGGCAAAAATCTTACTGAAGAAAATAACTCTGAAAATTCGAACTGGCCAAAGGAAGTTAATAATCCCATGAAACCTCAAGAAATAATAAAAGTCAAAAGACTGAAAAAATAGCAGAAAATATGAAATTACCTCATAGGAAAAGCAACTTATCTGTTGCTGTTCATAGCAGTTAAATTTTGCTAAACGTTTCAACGTGCTAAAGAACTGTGGGCTGTGTACTCTCTTTGAAAACACCTCCTCGTCGTCTCTCTACCATCCAGACTCAGTCATGTGGTTTTCTTCCTCAGTAATCACTGTATCTTGCACTTTTCATAAGAGAAGGAAATCTGTGAAGCAGCTGCTGCAGCTACAACTGTGGTTAGTGTGTGAGATACTAATCTCTTTTGCATAGAAATAGCAACTTTTTTATGGGCGCAGTGGTACTTTTTTTTGTGTTAAATAAATAAGATCAGAATTATTAAAAATGAAAGTTTGGGGTGGGGCCTAGATTCAGTCACTGTTTTCTACCTTTGCATTTTTCACACCCTGCACCCCTAACCCCAACAAATGTCGAGGAACGACTGTAGACAGTGTTCTTCTACTCTCTTCTAAACCCTTTGCAATCTTGGCTTCCGACCTCATCATTCAATTCGAAACTGCTCTCTCCAAAGCTGCCAATGATCTTTTTAATCAATCCTCATCCTCTTTGACCTCTCTGAAACATCTGACACTGTTGATAAGCTATTCAATAAATTCCACTGTCTCCCTATTATCTCCAGGATCAAACATCTGTTTGGCTTTTAAAGTTTTTCATAATCTGGGCCCCTCCTATACTCTTCATCTACCTTACTCCCCTCCATGTATTCTATGATCAAGTGACACGGGCCTCCCTGCTGTTCCTCACAGAAGACACTTCCTCCGAGCTCTGGGCATTTTTACTATCTGTCCCCCATAAATGGAACATTATCTTTCCTCATCTCTACCTCCTAGCTTCCTTCACATCTCAGCTAAAGTCCAGCCTTCTAGAAAAAGCCTCTCCTAATCCTCTTCAATCTTAGTGCCTTCCCTCTGAGATTATCTCTAACTTATCCTGCACTGATCTTGTTTGTACACAGCTGTTGCATACCGTTAAAAGTAGATCGAGTTCCTTGAGAGCAGGAACTGGTTTCTTTTTTGCCTTTCTTTATATCTCTCATGCTTAGCACAGTGCCAGGGACACAGCAGGCACTTAATAAATGCTTATCTCATTAACTTGACCTTCTCCTCCTGGATCCTTTTTCCTCTCTAGATTTTTGAGACACTGTTCCCCTGTAGTCCTATTCCAACTTGACTGCTCCTTCTCAGCTAGATATTCAACCACATCATGCCCCCTAAATATGGATGTTCCCTAGAGCTCTGTCCTGGACCTTTATCACTTTTTCCTATATTCTCTCTTTTCATGATCTCATCAGCTCCCACGGGTTCACTTACTTTTAGACAAAGATTTACACATCTATATATACAATTCTAGTCTTTCTCCTAAGCTCCAGTCTTACATCATCAACTGAGCATTAGACATTTCAAATCTGATGCCCCATAAGCATCTCAAACTAACATGTTCAAAACAGAACTCCTCCAACACCCTCCTCTCTTCCAAATTTCCCTGTTACTGTCAAGGACATCATCATTCCTCAAGCTCATAAACATAATGTCATCTTCATCTCCTTGTTTTCAGTTATTCCACATATCCAAATAGTTACCAAAACTTCTCTTTTCTACCTTAACAATAAATTCAGCACATATCCTCTTCCTTCTCTCTACTTACAAACTCACGACCTTGGTATTGGCCCTCAATACTTCTTGCCTAGAATACTACACTAGCCATCTAAATAAGTGACTTGCCCAGGGTCACACAGCTAGTAAGTGAGGCCAGATTTGAACCCAGAAAGATGAGTCTTCCTTACCTCAGGTCCAGCACACTCTCCATTGTACCACTGTCTACCATCATCTTCCTGATGTCATGGCCCTCTTTGAGAACGAAGGACAAAAAACCACAAACCTTCTAAATAGTCTCTTTTCAAGTCTCTCCCTCCTCTAATCAATCCTCCAAACAGTTCCCAAATTTATTTTCCCAAAGATGAAGTCTAACCATGTAACTCCCTTCCCCAATCAATAAATTTTAATGGCTCCCTATTACCTCCAGGATCAAATATAAAGAATGTCCTTTGTTTGCCACTCAGTGTTCTTCACTACCTGACTCCCTCCCACCTTTCCAATTTTCTTTCACTTTACTCCCTCCTCCATCTACAATACAGTCATACTAGCCTACCTGTGACTCCTCATAACTGACATTCCATCAATTCTTTTTGTCTTTTTTTCTGGCTTTCCCCATGCCTAGTATGTTCTGCCTCCTTACCTCCACCTCTTACAATACCTGGCTTCCTTTAAGACTTAGTTCCAATGCCGCCTTCTATTGCAGGCTTTTCCTCATCTGCTAATGCCTTCCACCCTATAGTTACTTTCAAGCTATTGTTTATAGGTTTATTAATTTACACACTAATCCCCCAACTACAATGTAAACTCCTTGAGAATACTGACCTTTTTTTTGCCTTTCTTTGTATACTCCGTGCTTTATACAATTCCTGGCACATAGAAATACTTAATAACTGCTTGTTAATTGGTTGATTGACCAGTTCAGTATAACAGTCACCTGCCACTAGCCAGAATTTAGGGTGATGATCAAGGCTGCCAAAATGGAAAGGAAAGCAAGGGAACAAAGGCATAAGGGCATGGAGGAAAAAGAGCTCAGGAGGGGCAAGGAGCATGGAAGTGATCCGACCTTCATCAGCCAGTAGCCTGGGTGAACCTGCTTAGTGACACACTTGCCACCCTCATGAAACAAACAGAGCTCCTACCACATCTCACCCCTTGGTGGCAAGGTGTAAAAAATTTCTAAGTGATCATCTACTATTAAAACAATCTTGAAAAAACTCTAGCAACTGAAGGAATTTAATACAAATAATAATATAAAGCAACTCCTTAAATCATAGTTCATAAGTCTTCTGAGTTAAAAACAATTATGATAAGCAGGAGCAGTATCATTAGCATCAGATCCACCAAATAAATGACACCTCTGACATTATTATTGGTCACCACCACAAGTCTGGATCACCTGTATCAAGATAGCTAAGAGCATGGGTCTTCCCGCATGCAACCTGTCACAGGGCCTGAGTTGGTACTAGGACTGGCCCAGTACCTAGTCAGTATGCTCTGGCCTATGAGACAAAACCTCTTCCTCTCTAGAAGACCCATCAGGGATGGTATCAAATTTTGGGTACTTTAGAAGTCTACTGAGAAGTCCTTCTTCTATGGGGATTGTATTCAGACTAAAGCTTCAACTTCAAACAGGACTAAAAATTATCAACAAGTCAGCTATAGGATTCTCTTTTTCCCCATGTGAATTCCAATTTGTCATAAACACACACCCACATGCGCACACACACACACACACACACACACACACACACACACACAGAGGTTTTCTTTTCCCCCAGGATAGTTTGGATAGCCTCTTCCCAGAAAAAGTTTACCACAGTAAAGGGTGAAATTATTGGGAAGTCTGTTGCTTTTTAACATTATTGGGTAGTTAAAACTTGAATGTGTATATTTACAAATATATATATATATGTATATATATATGCATATATACACACACGAATACACAAAAAGTTTTTACTTTGGTATATGTAATCTATCAACTTAATATATATTATATGTAATATATAAGTGTTTATAT